CGGGCTGCGGCTGTGTCAGGCCGCGCGGGGACGCTGAGCAGGGCTGCGCTGCAGGTCGGCCGCACCGCGAGGTGCAGGTGGGTGCCGCTGGCCTGTTGGGGTTGGGCCGTAGGCTTCGTCACGGACATGCCGTGTCCTGTCCCCGTCCCTCCCCTTCTTTATTTCTGGCTCTTACCAAACCCAGGAGGTGATGTGTGGGATATCCCTCACAAGCCAATGACCCCGTGTGCAGGTGCAGGAGGTGACGAGCGGGATGTCCCTTGAGGACCCATGGCCTTGCTGTGCCTCTGAGCTAGGGCCTGTGCTGGTCCTGGTCCATGCAGGAGGCTGCCAGGAGCCCTCGTAAGAGAGACGAAGGCTGGTGACAGCAAGAGGAGTCAGAGGTGACACTTATGCTGGAGCCCTCTGCGACCTGCCTGGACATTTGGGAGGTTTCTAAGCTGAGCGAGTGGCAGCAGTTGCAAGAGACCTGGAGGTGAAGGGTCTGAGCTGCTTCGTCGTCCAGCTCCTGGCTCGATTGCGGTCGTGTCGCTGGAAACGCTAGCTGCGCGCTGGGGTGGTAGATGAAAGGGACAAGCCGTTTGATTCAAACCAAAGCACATCTCTTGGCAGAGACTCCAGCTTTGGCCAGGAGCGGTTTTCTAGTGAGCTTGGGATAAGCTGTGCAGGGTACATGTAATTTTTCCATCAAAATATTTACGAAACGACTGCCTCTTTCCGGAGCTGCGGAGCGTGGCTGGGCTGGAGCGGTGGGCGCACCGTCAGGGCTGGCGGGTGCGTTTGGCTCGCAAGAGCTCAGTTTGCATCGCAGAGAACAAAACGAAGGTAATCAACCACTTACCTGGCTGTACTGGGGAGCGGGTCAAACCCTTTGGCCCTCAGACTCTTCAAATACAGGCCAGGCCTGTATTTAAAAAGAGAACAACGCAGAGGTGGGACCAGTACGTTGGGGCGAGGTGGCCTGGGAGCGCTCCTGAGTGTGTCCACGTGCCCCACGGCGTGGGGGGCCGCTAACCCAGGGTGCTGCCCGCAGGAGGTGATCGTCCCCGAGGGGAAGTGGAGGAAGGTCTCGCCTGCGTCGCTCTCGCTGTCTCTCCCGGATGCGGACTACCAGTGCATCCACCGGACGTCCGTCAGCAGCCTCAGCGCCAAGGAGAGCTCGTTCACCTCGGAGGAGCCCTTGGTCTCAGGTGAAGGCCTTGCGCTCCCTGCCCTGGGCGAGCGGCAGCGGGCGCAGACCGCGCCGGCTGCGTAACTCGTGCCCTGCCCTAACATGGTGCTGCTTGGGGTATAACCTGTCATAACTACACGCTCACTGATCCTCAGTGGAGGATGAAGGTCTCAGCCTTGCAGACGAGTGGAGCTGAGGCACAGGAGCTTAGTAGCAAGGGGACTGTGACAGGCCCCAGGGGTGGGATGGGTTTCCCAGCTGTCTGCTCAGCCCCCAGGCCCCTGAGCCAAAGCCCTGCGGGTGTCCGAGCCCTCGCAGCGCACCCCTAGCACCCGGGCAGGCCTGGTCCCGCAGGTGGGTGGCGGAGGCCGAGCTGGTCTGAACGGCGGCAGCGATAACCCCAGGGAGGAGAGGAACACTTGCCTGTCGTAGTTGAAAGGGGCCCATCAGGGAAACATCCCGCTGGTCTGAGCAGATTTCCAGGGCTTGTCCTGCAGATGCTGTAGTGGAGTTTGTGTGATCAAAGCCTTATCGCAGAGCACGTGGCTCCTTCGCCTGTGCAGGCTGGATGCTCTCCGTAGCGCAAAGGGGCAGCTCCAGCAGGCTGTCAAGCAGAGCTGCTACCCCGATGGAAATCCCCTTCAAGCAAGGCCCTGGGTCGCTCTGCGCTGGGTGCAGGAGGAGCAGGGACGTCTGCCAAGCGTATCTGCAGATCTCGGCACTGGCTGTCACGTGGGAAGAGGTGCTGAGCCCACGCGGCCACATCCCTGCGTTGACTCTTTGGCCCTCGGGTTGTGTTTCAGAAAGTGCAATAAACACGGAGGAGGAGCTGGATGGGGAGCAGAGCTGCGTGGCAGAGCTGAGACCCTCCGACTACCAACTCTTGAAGATCTTCATCGTGCTGTAAGTGTGCTGAGGGGGGCATGGGCTTCGAGGCGCTGGGGGAAGTGTGTTGGCCCAGCCCTCCCAGTGTGGACTGAACGCTGTTGGCTGACAGCAGTTCTCTGACCACAGCAGATGGGGGACAGGCAACTTCTTGGAGCTGAGAGTGTGGAGGAGGAGGAGGAGGGCAGGGCTAAGCCCATCACTTCTCTGGCCATAGTAGAGGGGAATGGGAGCACACTACATTCCCCATCCAAAGAAAGCAGTTTTGGGAGCAGCATTGAGGACTGCAGCTTGGGGAGGGCCAGTACAGCCAGGTTCCTGCCATCACGGGGAGAGTTGGCCTCAGCCATCATCTCTGAGCACTTGTGCTTGTTCCTTTGCTCCCAGGATCTGCCTCCTGGTTGTGTCGTCTTCGTACCTGGCGTTTCGCATCTTCCGTCTGGAGCAGCAGCTCTGCTCTCTGAATCGGGACTACCTCTCCCGTGGGCACAGGAGGTAAGGGCCTCTCTGCGTCCGCATGAACCCTGCTACCTGGAGGGATGTTTTGGGACAGGCTGTCCCCCAGAAGGGCAAACCGCGCAAGAAGCGGATGACCCAAATGACAAGGTGCGAAGAGCCAAGACTCTTTGCCCCGTTCTGCCTCCCTCCCACACGCGTGTCTGTGTGCGTGTCCTTGTGCGCATGCACGCGTGTGCTGTCGTTCTGCGTTTGTGCCCGTGGTGGTGTGCAGCGTTCCCGGGCTTGGTTTGGCAAGCCTGTTGGGATCGCTGACGGCAGTCCCTAAAGCACAATCCCCGCACGGTAGATATTGGTCACGTTGCTGAACACTCAGCAGATGAGGCTTGGTTTGAGTGACCAGGGGACGTTCTGCTGTCCTTGAGACTTTCAGCCCTTCTGAGAGGGTCTCCTGCAGGCATGGGGCAGGTCTGGGCGGAGCGTTGCTGTTCCTCTGGTTGAAAGAGATGGGTGTTACGGCGAAGCTAGTTGCTGCCCCGAGGCTAATGCAACCCCAGGCATTAGCAGGGAGACAGATTGCAGCTGGCTCTTCCTCCAAGGCCAGCGTCCCTGGAGGCTGTACCAGGCCTGGATGGGGTACACGTGGGTCTCTCCCCTCCTCGTGCCTGTGTGATGTGGTGGGAGACCATCTTGCAGCCAGGCTGCAGACAGTGTCTCCCTGGACGCTCACCTCTTTCTTACCCTGTTCTCTGTTTGCAGGTGACTGTTACCACCGAGCTCTGGCTCAGGACAGTCGGTGACAAGAGAGTAGCACTTTGTGTACAGATCTCCTGCCCAGGCTCCCGGCGAACGCAGCCACAGTATTTGGAGCGTCCGAACTGAGGAGTTGGGGTCCTTCTCTCCGTTCAGCCTCAGCAGAGCCCTGCGTCCTCCCGGCTGTGGGACCTGGCAGCGTCACGTCACAAGCTTTGTACTGCCTCCAAGCCGTGCCTCAGTGTTCGCATCTTTGGGGCGTCCCACGCTGCTCAGGAGGGAGGCAAGTGCTGTGTCTTCCGGTCAGTAACCCCAGGCTTGACTCTTGCATGTGGCCTGTCCTTCCCTCGGCCAGTAAAACTGGGACCAAATACAGTCTGTTTTCCTACCATCGCAGACTCCCGCTCCAGCAGGACTGCCCATCTGGGTCACGGCCTCTGGTGCCAACTCCCCGTGCCACCGGAAACCTGTCGTCTTCCCGGGGTGCTGACACGCTGTAGCACTGGACGATGGCCCAGCAGGCTGCTGCCCCAGTTGGAGGAAGTGGCTGGGCCTGCCCATAGGACTTGCTGCTAAAACGGTTACTGTTTTTTAATCCCCAACTTGAGTTTTCTTGTTAAAAGATGACCTTAGACTTACTGTAAGCCCCTGTAAACAAGTGGATGAGCTCCTGGTTGCAAAGGACGCAAGCTGGCTGGGCCTGTTCCTCCCCAGACATGTTCCCACACTAATGTAGTTCTCATTGGGACCAGTTCCTCCCGCGCCGCAGGCCGGTCCCGTCGCCCTCCAGCACAGAGCTCGTGCCCCGTGTCTGGGAGGTGCTCCGCATCGGATGTCAGTGTTAAAGCCCAGAAAGCGTCTCCACCGCAGAGGTGGCATCTCCAGGGAGGTGTAAGGTTTGAGCAGCCCTGAAGCTGCTGCAGCTGAACCTGCGCCGAACTGGATTGTTCATCGCTCCCCCCCTCGCAGCTCGAGAGAGGCGGGAACGTGGGGAGCGGGCACCGCTAACGGTGGCCCTTGACGCCGGGCCCGCCGCTTCCCTGCGGGGCGCCTCCAGAGCAGGGAGCGTGCCACCCTGCGAGCCTGCCCTCCGCGGCCCCGCCGCCG